GAAGAAGACCAATTTTATGATGGTACAGGTGCATAATTCTTTGAGGATGAAGGTGATCAGGTGGAAGAAGCGCCTATACCGCCTACTCGATTTTCACCCCATCAGGAATCAGGCTCAGGCTCGTGGAGCTTATCGAAAAAGGAATGAGACTGGATGGAGAATGAGATGTGCCATCTCCGAAGTGAGCAAACGAGGCAAGGCGAGGAGCAGACAAGACAAGGGAACGAGCAAATCCGACAGGGCAGGTTGATCAGTGAAATGCACGAATGGATGCGGCAGATGATGTTGCGGGACCAACCTCCTCCATCATGATGAACTCTGTGAGTCCCCTGCTACTTGTGTTTCAACAGTGGGGACACTGTTGAATTCAAGTGTGGCGGTATTTTATTGTGTGTGTTTTTTTGTTGTTGTTTTCTTTCTCTGTTATTTATATTTCTGTGTTAGTTTGAAAGCATGATCGAAATACCTGCAGTGAAAACCCCCGATGTTGAACTATTAAAATAAGAACTGTTTGGTTGAACTGTTTTCGTGTGAGGTAGGTGATGAGAAAGTATAGAGAATGCTCAGAAAAAGTTTTGTGAGGAGGAAATCGGAATAATCTTGAGAAGTAAGTAAAACACAAACACCCTTGGTCTCCCGAATAGGAACGAGTTCGACGTGTAGATTTGTGCCATAGTGCTTTGATCTGAGAAGTACCCCAGTAGTTCTCCTTGACAGGCGGGCTTAATCAATAAGAATCGTATGTGCGAGGTTGATCGAAAAGTATATGTAAAAAAAAAAAAGCACAGAGAAAAAGGGGCAAATTGGACGACCTGTCCTTCTAAGTTGGGTAACCCTCACTCGATTATTCAGCCTAACGGCGGTCGAACCTGAGAGCCATTCAAAAAAATAATAATAATAATAATTGTGCCAAAAAAAAAAGAAGAAGAAGAAAATATAATACTTGATCGATCTTGTGCATGCGAGGAAAAATCATAACTGCCCTTATAGTTACTGTTCGAATGAAAGGGAGAAAAATCAAAAAAGAAGACTTAAGTACAAAGCATAGTCGGAGAGGTTACCAATTGGGAGATTGAGGTCGGTGGTTTTGCCACGGTTTAGTGTTTATGTGTTACCTATTTTGACAGAGTAAGCCGAAACTAATCCTAGTGGGACTTGGAATGAGAATTTCACGTATGAGTATCATTACCGTAACTCACAGTTCTATGGGCGTTTATGTGAAAAGATTTATAAGGTTCGATTTGATGAGCTTTTTGCTCGAGGTCAAGCAAAAGTTTAAGTTCGGGGGAGTTTGATCGGCGGATTTTAGTTGTGTTTTCCAAACTATGTTTGTCATTGGTTTCGCATTGTTTTATCCGTTTTTCTAGTCTTTGGTTTGTTTTGTCGTAGTTATTTGCAGTGTTTTCGCATGAGTCTTAGTTTAATAACTTTATTGCTTTTGCCGCCGGTGCATTTGATTTGGTTTCTTTTAGTGTATTTTTGGCAGGAATCGGTGGCCGGACATCCGTACTGTTTCGAAGACAAAGAAAAGCCAAAAAAGCACAAGTCAGAGGCCTGACACGGGTGCCCGTGTTGCACAACACGACCCGTGTCATGAGGGATACGGCCAGGAGGACACGGGTGAAAAGGAGAAAAGAAGATTTGGAAACAGAAGAGCAACACGGGTGCCCGTGTCACACAACACGGCCCGTGTTGCAGCCCCTGATGCTTTTTTCTCAGTTTCGAGTTACAGAAGCCTGACACGGCCACCCGTGTCACACAACACGGCCCGTGTCAGGGCCACTGATGAGGAAAATGCTGTTTTTTATTATTTTTCACTATTGAAGCCATTTTGAAGGGAATTTTAGACATTTTATCATGTAATTTGAATTGAGTTATATTAAGCCTTATTTTGGAAAGAAAGGGGCACATTTTTTATTAGGATTGAAAGGAGAGAACTGAAGCCGGAGAATTCGGAAGAACAAAGGATCGATCAAGAGCGAAAGCAATTGATGATCCAAGGATTTCAACGTGCATTGTAATGATCTTCTCCTTTTTAATTCTAATTACTTTTATGTTGACCAAGAACATGAGTAGCTAAACCCCCAAGTTGTTAGGGGGTGGTCCTTAATACGATGTAATGACATTTATTTAATTATTCTACGAGAACTATATTTTTACCTTAATATATTTGATTTTGCATTAATCTTATTCGTATTCATATTGGAAAGTAGAATTCGAATAGTGCTTAGGCTTAGTCTGGAAAGTCAACCTAACTCTTTTGCAAAATAGTATCACGGTCGATATTGCTTAGGAATGAGGATATCCCGTATCACGTATTTTATGGTCGGAATTATTGCTTGATGTTTTTCAGGGACACTGAGGAATTAGTGAACAGGAAAATCATCAAAGGGTTTCCATTAAGGAATTAAGGCAACTAAAGTGGCCAACTGATAAATTAAGGTTAATAACTAGTATAGTAGAATAATCATACAAGGTCTTTACTCGTATAGTCTCCACCCCCTAACACTGTTCTTAGATTAATTAATTAAGTCCGTATTTACTGTGATATTACTCTGCTACCAAACAAACCACTAGACCTTTTGTTCAATTGAATTCTGAAAATTCCGTTAATTACTACGCAGTCCTCGAGATCGATACTTGGGACGTTTCCCTTATTACTACAATTGGTAAAAATAGTACACTTGCTATTTTCCCGATCACTTACCATGGCCCGTACATGCCACTAACCCAATCACAACAACAACCTTATCAATATAGCCCTGATACGTCTTTTGACCCTACCCCCTCCACCTATAGCCCATATAACTCATCTGACCCTACCCCTCCACGTATCCACTGTTTGACTACCAAACCCCACAATAACCAACATACCGTTTCCAACCCGATTCGATGTACGAAGTCAGACAACCATACTGTCCATACTCCACCCAACCTCCCCGAAAATCCTACGAACACATGGGCATTGGGCTTAACTACGGAAGCGCCGTTGATAGTGGACCTCCCGGCTATTGAGGTCAAATGCTTCAAAATTTATCTGATACGCCGGGGCCGTCCCAACAAATACCGGACACACCTCAACAACCTCGTGGCAGACCTCGTCGCTGCGCGCATCTTCCACAATGTGGTACCGGTGGTCGTTTAGATAAAGCCGACCATTAATTTTTTTCATCAATTGTAATTTATATTCTATTATAAATAAATATATTTTAATATTTCTTCCATTTATTTTTTTAGATTATTTAGATTATTTAAATTCTATCCATTTTTTTATATAAATTATAAAAACAAAAAATATAAAAATAAGAAACAATTAAATAGAAAAGTTTTTATATAAATTATATAAAACAAAAAATATAAAAATAATAAATAAATAGAAAAGAAAAAAGGCAAAACGAAAAAAAAAAACATTCTGGGCTGATTCGCCAATCCAATTGGCGAATCCATTGGGCCCTACAACTCGCTCGCCAAACCAAGGAAATTTTACCTCATACCCCTACAATTATACCCATACCTCTACATTAAAAATTTTTGGACCAAAATACCCTCGTATAAATAGTTATAATTTTAGAAATTTTACCTTCCCATTTCATTTGCATTTGAAGACTTCTGGAACAACCATTTTTCACCTACAAACCGGAACTCTTAGCCAAAGTCTTCCGGAACTACATTTTTCACCTACATATACTGAAACTCTAATAGTAAGTCTTCTGGTTTTTTGTTTTTTTTCGTTTGTTTACCGGAAGACTTTAAGTATGTCTTTCGGTTCATATTTTTTTTCGTTTGTTCACCGGAAGACTTTAAGTATGTCTTTCGGTTTTTTTTTTTTCGTTTGTTCACCGGAAGTCTTTTTGCAAGTCTTCCGGTTCATTTTTTTTAATTTTTAATTTTTTTTTGGCAGTGTTGCGCACACGAGGCAGAGATGGTAGGATCCCTTCTCGCGGACTAGGACGGAGCGAGTCATCGAGAATGGCTGAAGAAGAGAATGTTGATGCATTTGCATCAGCAACCGAGCCTATTGGATATCTAGGAGGATCGTACGATACCTCTCTTTTAGTTAAGTATGAACATCATATTGCTAGACATATATGGTTCGGTGAGGTAAGTAAACGAAAATTATTTAATATTGAATAAAATTTGAATTTTTAATGTTGAATTTTATAATATATTTACTTTTAGTTGTTTTCAGGAGAGAGGTTCAAAGAAAGAGTTAAAGGTAGAAGGACATGGGTTGAAGTTGATTCAGGGGGTTCCACTACAGCTACCAAGAGAGATGAAGGGTTGGATATCTAGGTTTGGTCTAGCTTCACTCCAGAGAACCAGTTTAACAAAGATAGACACGAACCTGGTTTCCGTATTTGCAGAGAGATAACATTTAGAGAAATCTTCATTTCACATGCCATTTGGCGAGATGACGATTACTTTAGATGACGTCTCTTGCCTGCTTCATTTTCCCATCAAGGGAGTCTCCTAGAGCCCTCAAGATATCAGTGAAGCGCTTGCTGTTGAGTGGGCTATTGATTACTTAGGAGTGTCATAGAGAGTAGCACAACAACAAGTCCGTGACTGCAGGGCTTCCTACTATAAGTTAGAATGGTTATATGATCGATTTGTAGAGGATAGAGCTGCTTCTAGATGGGATTATGCGACTAGAGCTTATTTGCTGATGTTAGTGGGTTCCATTATTTTTGCGGACAAGACATTTACGCTTGTCGAGGCACGATACCTCTCACTATTTATAGACTTGGATGGCTTATCAGGATACAATTAGGGAGCAGCTGCGTTGGTTATCCTTTATAGATATCTCGGAGATGCTTCCATGTTCAGTTGTAAGTAACTTGGTGGTTATTCGACTCTCCTACAGGTATTCATTTTAATTTAGTATATTTTGTTTTAATTAATTTTATTTAGTATATTAATTTTATTTATCTAGTTTATTATGTTATAATTAATGATTTTAAATTTAGTAACAATATTAATTTTGTAACCGTGCTGGATTCATGAGTATTTTCCAACACTTGGGAAAAAAAGGAGAGAATTGGATACCAACTAATAATGTGGGTCTCCCTCGAGCGATGAGATGGTCCTATAGGCAAGGTGTCCTGAAGGTGGATGACTTGCAGCCTATTCTGGACGAGTTGACACTTGCCGATGTCATATGGCGCCCATTCGAGAATTATAGAGTAGGGCGTCAGTTTGATGAGTTATGTCTATATAGGGGGTGTCTGAGGTTGGGTGACACTATTATTCCATACTTGCCTGACAAATGTATGCGTCAGTTTGGATACAGACATTATGTTCCACATCCACCTCTTGATCATACGATCGCTGATGATATTGATGTTGACTGGATTAGTTACCATCAGAGCATTCAGGATGTGATTCGTTCGACAACACCGGCCACCACCCCATATGAGACAGATGATGGATATCTTCAGTGGTATTATCGCGTTTCACATCCTCGTCTGGTACCGCACCATCGTGATGTACCAACAGAGGTGCCAGTTCTTGTTTATGAAGCAGGACCATCTGATCCTAGCTGGGCTCGTGTGTCTTCATTGATTCATCGTTATCTTCAACAGGCTGATGCTGAAGAGGATGATCCACAGTTTGCTGAGTTGTTCGAAGCTTTACATATTGCTCGATCACATTGACTTATATTTATATTTATGTTTATGTGTTAACTTTTAGACGTGTTGACTTATATTTATGGTTATGTGTTAACTTTTAAACTCATTTGACCTAGTTGGTTTATGTTTATGTGTTAACTTATAGCGTGAAATTAAAAATGAATAACATAATTCATGACTCATCTTTTGAAATTAAAAATGAATAACATAATTCATGATTCATGTTTTGAAATTAAAAATGAGTAACATAATTTATAATTCATAATGCGTTGGTAATATAGGCGTAAGTTGTTGCCAATGTTGTAGACGTCCTGCAAATCCTAGCATCCAAGATGTTGCTGCTGGAGAACGAAACTTCTTCCAATCTACTGTCACTGGTGGCAATGGAAACCCTTCTTTCATGTTTACCTAAATAAAAAAAAATCAAAATATTAAGTAAAAATAACGAAAAAGAATTAGGTTTAATCACATTATCTAAAAGTAACTAAGTACCTGAACCCAATGATTTCTGTTTACAAAACCAATGCAGTAAAATGCTACATTTGGTGAAAATGAAGTTGTCATAGGGAAGAAAATCCAGCATTCAAATCCTAAACAGATAAGTACAACATTACAACGATTCACTATCACGTAACCCATATCTGGTAGAGTTAACCATTTATGTGGTGATTGAGGACCAAATTCCTCTATCATTAAAGATTCTCTCACTACTGCTAACTGATCAGTAAATAAATTGGCATACAAACTTGATCTTTCATTATGTATTATTTCCAACCCCAAGTCTCGACGAACCATTGGCCAACCATCTTCACCATATCCATGCAATGAAGCAATGACTCTAAATCCACACTTACCATCTGATACAACATTAACTACATCATCAATATATGACCTGATGTGATTAGGAAACTGAAGGATGAACTGCTTAGATGACTGTGAAGATTGTGATAATTTCAACTTCTTCGAAGCCTGTGATGGTTGAGATTTCTTTTGTGAAGATTGTGATAATTTCAACTTCTTCGAAGTGTGTGATGGTTGAGATTGCCTTTGTGAAGATTAAGATGCTTGATCAACATACTCATGATACAAAGGGTCTCTATAAACATCATACCCTACTGGTTTTTTGCCTTTCTTCTTGACTCCCCCTTTAGTTTTTATTTTCTCAGGTGGTGGACACATAGGATTCATTGTGGGGAAGGAAAGTTCAAAAACCCTGCTTTTTAATGCCTTTTTCCCAACAACATCCAGTGACTTAAACCTTTTCCATAACTCATCTATCGCACTACTCATATCCACCTCTGATCCATCATTTACGTCTTCGTCCAACTTAACTTCCATACTTAGTTTTCTCCAATGAACATGCACAACGTCTATTGGTATCGGTATACCATCAATTCTATATCCTGTCAACTCACAAGCACAAGGTAATCCTTAGGTTGTTATGAGAGTACAACGACAAATTTCCTTATTAGTTCCAACATAATCAACTCGTTTGAACTCTTCAGCAATGTGTCCCAATGCATCTCGAGACCTGAACCACGTAAATTATTGTAAAATGGACTTACGTGGACGTGCTCAACTTCATAAAAACTCTTTTGAAAGGAAGCTCTAATATTGCCCAGTTGTAACTTTAAGTTGTCATTCATAGCCTCCCAACACTTGACCATGTCACCAATACTGTTCCCCAACATTTGCTTTAACTTCCAATGAGCAGACTCAACCCTAAAATTAATACATATTGAAAATATTTTTAAAAAATACAAAAAAGATATACAATTTAGAAATACTAAAAATAAATACATACCGATTAGTCGTGGTGTTACCCAAATGTAGCACTCGATTAATCCATGCTCCAAAAAATCTTTGTCTATGTGGTGTCAACCATATGTCCTTAACATAATCAATAAATTCATTACAATCAACACACGCCTGCTCAAGTTGGTTCAACCTTTGATCATACTCAACCTCATCACTAACCCATACAACACCCGTCCATAATTCGTCAATTTTCTTTTGCATGTCACTAGCCACATATTGTTTCCGTTTTGCATCAACATACTTATTAATATGAAATCGACATAGCAAATTGATCGACCTTGGAAACACAATTTCAATGGCTTTCATCAAACTAAGATCTCTATCTGTCAAAATCACTTGTGGACACAAATCTTTCTTCATAAAAATTTGTTTAAGCTTATCTAGCACCCAACAAAAAGTCTCAGTCTACTCAGACTCAATATACGCAAATGCGACAGCAAAAGTCAACTCGGTTGATGTCATGCCAACAATTTCAAACAGAGGTTGCTTATATTTGTTTATCTTGTAAGTGTCGTCCATAACTAACACAATAGGAAAAATATTCAACAACTTAATTGAATCTGGATGATCCCAAAATATATCTCTAATAACTTCAGAGTTATCTCTTTTTCTACTCCAATAAACATAATCTGCATCCTCAATAAGCTTAAACAAATGTTGTATCTCACTTCTAGGATCTCTTATATTTTTTCTATCATACTCTTCTGCTTGTATATTTGCGTGATCCGAGTGACATTATCTGGATCTTACTCTTGCAATGAAAGCAATATATGTCTAGGTGGAATCTTTCTCTTTGTCAAATTAACAACATGGTGCTTCTGATCCGCTGTCAACCTACCAACAAATGCGTGACCTTCTAATTTATCAGGTAAACCATGATTATGAACTCCACATTTTACATCAGCCTTCCATCCAGATCCACCAGTCACTGGAATTGACCTAATTCTAAATGGGCATCCACATTTTTTCGTCACACTCTGGGTTCCACTATCAATATCTTTGTGTTTTCCACCTTTATCACATCCAAATATTAATTTGTTACTTCTTCCTCTCTTGCCTGTTTCAATATCCGAACGAGTGATGATAACTGTTACTTTATTTCAGATTCCGATCTCTTTAATCCATCTTATCACCTCTTATCGTGTACCAAATCTTTGAGTAGTTGAAAAAACATCAAACGTATCCACACATATCTGATCTTTATCGCATATTTGTACATGCATAAAAAAAATAAAAATAAAAATTACAAAAGCAAACCGGAAGACTCAGTAAAAGAGTTCCAGTAGACAATAATAAAAAATTGGAAGACTTGTAAAAAGTGTTCCGGTACATTTTCCTTCATACCGGAACTCTTAAGACAAGTCTTCCGGAAGATTTTTACGTAAAATTAAAATCGGAAGACTTTGTTTAACTCTTCCGGTATATATTTTGTATAAACCGGAACTCTTAGCCAAAGTCTTCCGGTTTGACAAAAACAACATACCGGAAGTCATTTTAACCGTGTTTCGAACACTTGATGGGTGAATTTTTCGGAATTCTGAAAATCTGTCAGGACGGTAAAAAGTAAAAAAATAAATAAAATAATACAAAATAAACAGGAATAAAATTGGTATTTTTTTTTTAAAATATAAGGGTATGGTATAATTGTAGGGGTATGGGGTAAAATTTTCCCAAACCAAACGGCGATAACCTTGCTTTTTAGGTGCATTCGCCATTTAAAATGGCGACCCAATATTGAATGTTGGTTGGTTTGAAAAATATTTTAAAATATTATTTTATTTGATAATTAATTTAAAAATATTAATTATATTAAAAAAAATTCAATATCCGACTTACGAAATCAACTGATTTGAATAAAATTGTGATTTTTTTACAAAATTCAACATCAATTACCACTCAATTAAAAATGGATTTTATATTTTCTATTTGAAGACACACCAAACTTACCTGATAAACACGCATAGAATATGGCGGTTGAGTAACGTGTATAACGAGTGAATCTGAGTCACAATCTCACACAAAAATCACATTACTTTATTTTCTTATTTTTGACTAAAAAAATACGACTTTATACTTTTCTAGGTAATTCCAACCTTACATTTCAATTAAAAATAATAACGGTAAGATAAATTAAAAAAATAAATAAGGAAAGTTCGTTTTTCCCTTTTGTTCTCCATCACTCCTTTTCATTATGACATTAAATTCTCGGCACCAACATCATGACCTTTTATTTTAATCATTAACCCACCTTTATTTTATTCATTTTCAAATCGAAACTCACATGGCCAATTATAGTATTTAATTATTTAAAGTTATTATATTTATTTATTTTCGTGGACTCCATTCTCTTCACCATCCTCATTATTGTTCTTCTTCATCGTTCTTCTTTCTAACCGAACAATTTTCCGATTTCGAACGATTTCATGGAAGAAGTTAACGGTATAACATTTATCATAAATTTGTATCTTTTGATTTTCATTTCAACCACATAATTGAGTTTTTCTTTTTCCTTTTTTATGATGTTTATTTTTCGATTATCTTTTTCTTTGATTTTTATTTTCATTAATTTTGAAGCGCAAGCTCTGGAATTGAAAAACTAATAATTGATTTTGGAATTTTCGTGCAGTGCATTTTTGTAGAACCTTGATTATACCCTAAAATATTTTTGGATTTGTTTTGGAAGTAATTAGTGATTAATTAGGTTTATGAACTTGTGGATGATGATTTTTTGTGCTTTGTTTGGATCCTTGAAATTTCTATATAGCTACATGAATTTTGTGTAGAACTTTTCGGAATGTTGTATTTGGTTTAGTGTTTTGATTGTATTTTGTTGGTTGTTGTAGTTGTTGAAACTAAGGATGGAACCGTTTCAGTAGCTTCTGCGTTTGCTGGTCACCAGGAAGGTAATGCTTCTGCATAATGTTCATGACAGATTTATTTATACATTGAGATTTGAGGCCCTAGTGTTTTTTTTTAATAATAATCTGATGTTAAGTTTCATCATTTCAGATTGTTGTTATTTAATCGTGAATCAAATTGTGAATTGGCAAACTTACTTTCTGAATTTGAATTGTGAATCGTGAATCAGAAGACTTATTTTCTGAATTGTGAATCAAATGTTAGAATGAATTTTAATATAAAATTTCAATATAAATATGTTATTTTAAAGTAAAAACAAGTGATATAGCAAATTTATAAGATAGTATCAGGGTTTTAAAAACAAGTTATAGCAAATTTCAATATAAACAAGTTATTTTAAAGGTTTTTGCGATTTTTGTCGGTACAGGTGTTGCTACTCGTGAATTAACCACAATTTGTTCTTTAATATAGAAAACCGTGATAACGGTATCGACATCTGCCAAAACCGTTTTTTTGCGTCGCAGACTGTTTTTTTTAAAACCTTGGATAGTATATCATCTACTAACCTTAAAATGATTCAAGATACAAATAAAAAATTAGATTACAAAAGAAGAGTGTCACGGCTCTACAAAATTGGGAAAAAAGTTGACTTACTACCATGCCTCTCTTAAGTTTTCGGAGACCCTGCATAAGTTAGCCTTAGTTAAATTGTGACAATACAAATATGGACCTTATTTTGCCAATTTAACTGTGACAAATATTTTATGAGATTCTATCTAGCCAATTGTCATACTTTGGACTCTGCAGTAACCCGCCTTCAAAGACGTAATGCTAACTACACTTAGTTTATGTTGTGATTCATTTGGATAAATCGGTATTCATCATAGCATAAGATGGAAATTATGTTCTAAATAGATAAGATGTTCATATCAATTGGATTTAGTTTTTTATTGAATTGAGATATGACTTGCATGTATAGTAAGATGTGGATAACCATGTTTCAAAGTCTTGTATTATTTGATTAATACAATCCTGAAAATTATGATTCAAATTGGCAAACAATTGGCTTGAAGAAAAAAGACACATAGTATCATAAGATGTTTATAATCATGTTGCAGAGATTTACTTATATCATGTCATTTCATTATACAATCCTGAAAATTATCTTTCTAATTGGCAAAGATTGGCTTGATGACAAAAATACTTGCATTATTTTTTCTATTGTTCGTGGTTGAAAACAACAATATGGAGTTTTATTTTATCTGCTTGGATTGTGCTGGCCTCTTATCACTTGTATTCTGGTGTTTCTGTTGGTCAATTAGCTGTGCAGGATAGAGACCACAAATTTTTAAGAAAAGCAGTTGAAGAAGCATATAAAGGGGTAGATTGTGGAGATGGAGGCCCTTTTGGTGCTGTTATTGTTCACAACGATGAAGTAGTTGCTAGTTGTCACAACATGGTTCTGAATTACACTGATCCAACTGCTCATGCAGAGGTCACAGCAATCAGAGAGGTTAGACTATAAACAACAAAGAACTTTCTTATATAGCACGGAAAATTGTAGTTTTTTCTATTAGGAAATACTGGTATTCTTTATTACATTTCTGTTTTCTGATTGAAATATCATTCATCACTCTAGACGATGGTTACACCCTGCCATACATGATAATTGATTGATTCCAAGCAGTTTTAATTCATGTACATGTTAGGAACTTAAAAGGTTTGGCCTGACATGATTGAAGAAAGATTGAAAACTTACATACAGAAGCGTGAAAGCAGGTTTTCCAATGTATTCTGTGCAAAATAATCCAGTTTGTGCTAGATATTTTAACATTTTAATTTTGGAGATCTATGGATTAAGAGTTTTAAAGCTTTGGTCTGATATGATTGAAAGATTAATAACATTAACGTAACAGACACTGCTACCAAAGATACTATTCAATCTTTGGTCAACTCTATTAGTTTTAAGGTTATTGAAAACAACTGTCTAGCCACTATTAGTTTTAATCTTTGGTCAACTCTGTTCATAGTCTTAATATATAGATATGACTCAGATGAAAATGCTACAGCACTGCACGGTAGAAAAAAGAAATAGTTGCTACCAGAATTTAAGATCTTGTTGCCTCGTTTTAAACAACAGGCTAATGGTTAGATATCAATTAGATTCCCAACTTTATATCACTCTCGACTTATTTGAAAGCCTAGCACAGACTTTATAAGCTCTTAAATTAAAAAATAAACTAACAAATTTGTATGTTATTCTGTATTCCTTTCTTTTAATGCATAGGGTGTAGCAAACTTTATGCAATGGTAAACAAAAAAATGATTGATGCAGTGCTTTCAATTCACAGGCTTGTAAGAAACTTAAGCAGATAGAACTTTCAGATTGTGAAATATATGCTTCTTGTGAACCCTGCCCCATGTGCTTTGGTGCAATCCACCTCTCGCGAATTAAGGTAGGTTGGAACATTGAATCACGTGCTTTTCTTATATTTTTCATTTGTATCAACGTTGTCCTGTTTTGAGCATAACTTACTTACAATATTCTTCTTAAACAGAGATTGGTTTATGGAGCAAAGGCAGAGGCAGCAATTGCTATTGGGTTTGACGATTTTATTGCAGATGCATTGCGAGGTACTGGATTCTACCAGAAAGCAACGTTGGAAATTAAACAAGCCGATGGTAACGAGGCCATGATTGCGGAAGAGGTTTTTGAGAAAACAAAGGCAAAATTCCAAATGTATTGATACCAATTCTTTTCACACACAATGACAGTCAGCCATAACTGTTCTGTTCATAGCGGATTGATCTCATATGAGTATGACAAAGTATTCACTACAATTCGAATTGCATTGGATAATCACTATCTGATTGTTAATCTGTTCTAATTCACATTTCACACGGGAGGATATCAAATGCATTCCCTTCTTTATCATGTAATTGCCATTTGCCACTGATGTTAACTGAAGCCTTTTTTATTTTACTGAAGTTACATTTTCATGCCGTTCAAACAAACATTCCTTGGGAGTGGATTACGTACTTCCCAAGTTTCTAATACTACATATTATCATTGTGATTTCTCTTCTAGTAACAAAATGGGAAAACATGGTGAATTGTTCTGAGTTTCTGTGCATTGAAATTGCACCTATTGATGAATTGGTGTTAGAATTTGCTACAGGTCTAAGGAGCTACACTACAATGTTTTTTTTTTAAACTTATAAGGATGGAAATTGAGTTGAGAATGATTTTTAAGAATATTTTCCTTTCTTGTGCGCTCAGTTTCAGCAGTAGTTTGTTTTAATTAATCTCAAAGTCTGATTGTCTTTTACTTCAACTTATGAATTCTTTAGAAAAAATATAATCTTTATGGCTCTTTCTTTATGAAAAATATTTTCTTCTTATTATATATGGGTGTTTCATCTCACCCTTCGTTATGAAGGTCTTCGCTTCGTTTTATGTTTTTCTTTGGGGTTTTGGTCAGTCCCCTTGTATATATATTTTCTTTTTATTTATGTATATAAGCTATGGTTAGAGGATAAGAGTTTATAAGGATGGAAATTGAGTTGAGATATATAGTTTGTTCTTGATGACATGATGCTCTATATGTAGTAAAATTTACGAATATAGGATTTTGAGATGAACCTCTTTTAGTTCTACATGAATTGTGTAATCTTACAACCTTTCAGGATGCAAAAAGTAAAATTTCATTCTTTGATGAAGATATAAGTAGGACGGGAGTGTGGGGAAAATGTATTTATAATAGTGGAATAGTTATGACTTAATTGTGGGAAGCCGTGAAGAATGTCGCGTCTCTGGTCGCGAAAAATAAGAAGCTAAGGAAACTTCATGACGAAGGTCGCGTCCTTGGTCGCAAAAAATAAGAAACTAAGGAAGCTTCATGACGAGGGTTGATTTCTTAAAGCTCAAGGGAAGATTCTATACCTTATTGCAAATACTGACTGCCGAGCAAGGTCGGTTTGGAGAAGCTGATGAGAATGTTGTGTTCCTTACTACGGAAAAAAGGAGCTGTAAAAGTTGTATGTTGAATACGGCAAACGTTGTTGTCATCAACACTAAATGTTTTGAAAATTCCATTATGAAAATCCAGTTTTTGAATACTAGTGTGTAACTTGTGACCATTTTATCCAAAAATATTTTCTAAAATGCATTTATGTAGTTATTTTGAATTTAAAAATTAATGTTTTTGTGTTAATTGAGATTTATGAAGATACATCTCCGGACGACGTTTAATTGATATATTTTATGTTAGAACCTTTCTCCTTCTTTATTCATTTTCTACATTTTCACAAACCCTTCGTCTTCATAGCTCGTGAGAAAAAACAAAGTCGTTTTTCAAGCTTCAGCACTATTTCAATGCATCCAAGTTGATTTTTTCACTCCATTTAAGCTTTCGCACAACTAATCTCTCATTCGGTAAGTTTTTCATTTTCTTTATATTTTTGAGTTGTGATACATGCATTAGGTAAACTAGGTTGTTTAAAATGCATTAGTTTGTAGTTACATTCAATTCAAAATAAGTACTTTGTTTAGACATGCATACAAATTTGTTGATGTTTATGATATTGTCTGCATTTTCTGGAAGTTCTGCAATGTCGCACCTTTTTAAGGAGATATATCTCCAGTTATTTCTAGAATTTTTTGTCTTCTCAGTTTTACGGAGATGCATCTTCTAATATTTCTGGATTTTACTCTTTTATTTTACGGAGATGCATCTTCAAAATTTACTTGCCTTTGATTTTTATATTATTTTCGATTTTATTATCATAGAAACAATGTTGATAACAAGGAAAGGTTGAGGCATGACCGTGTATCCCAACATGTATTCGTTCGTAGGAAAAAAGCACCACATTAGAGGTCACAAGTTAGTACTAATTTGTTTAATTTGTTTGACATTGAAGCGTCGACTTCACGTGGTCATCTGTCTCAAGCTTCACAAGATCATGTTTCTAAAGCCTCGATCTCCCGAGGGTCCATGCCTTCTGTTGACGCTTTAGCTTATGAAGCCTCAACTGTTGTTGATCGTGTTTCTAATAGTTTTCAGCTGGCCCATATGACACCTCATTACTTCCTCTCTATGTTTAACATGTTGTTAGACATATATGGGAAGGAGATGTATATTTATTTACTTTTACGTTACATTTATTTCATACAAGTGAAGTTGCCACAAATGTTGTATATTTATTTTGTCAGAAGCGTGAAACAATAAAATCTATAAACCATGTCAGGAGAATTTTGAACCCGGAACAGAATGTAGACACGGGTTTCAAGATTATGTTTGTTACTCTAGACTTGCATGTTTATGGTCCACTGGATACTTGACCATTAACCATGGAATATTGGCGGCTTTTGTGGAGAGATGGCACAAGGAGACGCCATCTTTCCAAATCCCTCATGGTGAGATGTCAATCACCCTTGATGATGTCTCATGCCTTCTGCATCTTCATTTTGGTGTAAGTCTTAAAGGCCAGTAGTTTTATTAGAACTTGATACTCGTATCAAATTATTTATTAATAATTAATTGACAATTCTTTATCATATTTATTTTTTCAAAATAATAAAGTATCTAGAATATCTAGTTCGTTTAATGAAATGTTAAGTGTGACTTAATCATGAGATTCCATTAAAAATAAATATATTATTTTTAAAGTATTCGTAGTCGAGCTTTATTGTGAAGTAAGATAACATTAAAGTAATGAGACTATTATATGGATAAACTGATGATCACATATAATGAATCATGGATAAAGAGTTATCGAGTCTTAACATAAGTATGATTATTAGAAGTATTATTTATATTAGATTGACCTACTATTAAAATACTACATAAAATATCATGCAAAGTGTCATAAGTTATTCTCATAGTGATAATGATGTATACCTCCGTTCGACCTGAAACCAGTATGGATTCTAGATGTGGAGTCGATTACTTTATTGCTGATTAAACATTGTTCGTAACTAAATAACCATAAAGACAATTGATGGATATTCCACAAAGCATGCTAAAGGACATGAGTGGCCAATATGAAATTTGTCCATCCCGTGTAACATGATAAATGTCTAAGGGCGCAATATTGAACTGGACAAGAGTGACACAGTCTATCTCTTGTGTTCAATATAGATATAAGGGAAAAATGGTAATTCTACACAATAATATTATCATGAAATTTTTTGTCAGATCACATGAAATTTTGTGAATTGGGTAGGAGTGATGTGTTGCTAGATACCACTCACTGTTTATTATATGAAATGTGTGATTTAGTATAATTGTCAACGTCACGAGAATCTGCAGGGTCACACACATAAAAATAAATGATGATTGATATAATAAATAAGTGAAATATGGTGCACCGTAAAGTAAGATGTACTTGAGAGAAATATGAAACACCGCAAAATACAATGTACTTAAGTGGAATATGAAACACGGTATAATATAATAATAGTAGCTATTATTATTATTATTATTATTATTATTATTATTATTATTATTATTATTATTATTATTATTATTATTATTATTATTATTATTATATTTATTATAATATAATAATATTATTATTATAATACATTATTATTATTATTATTTTATTATTATTATTATTATTATTATTATTATTATTATTATTATTATTATTATTATTATAATACATTATTATTATTATTATTGTTATTATAATAATATATAATAATAATAATAATAATAATAATAATAATAATTACAATACATTATTATTATTATTATTATTATAATACATAATAATAATAATAATAATAATAATTATAACACATTATTATTATTATTATTATTATTATTATTATTATTATAATACATTATTATTATTATAATAATATGTATTATTATTATTATTATTATTATAATACATTATTATTATTATAATACATTATTATTATTATTATTTTAATACATCATCATCATCATCATCATCATCATTATTATTATTATTATTATTATTATTATTATTATTATTATTATTATGATGATGATGGTGCATTTAAGTTGGACTTCTTTAGCTTATTATCCACACAATGGGTTCTTTAAATAGAACTCTAGCGTAGAAGCTTTTTCAATTGATGAAATTAAGTTTGTGAAACCCTTGCCATAACATCTCTCTCTCTCTCTCTCTCTCTCTCTCTCTCTCTCTCTCTCTCTCTCTCTCTCTCTCTCTCTCTCTCTCTCTCTCTCTTACACACACACACACACACACACACACACAATATTTTCATTCGTAGCAGTTAGAACTAAGGATTGAAGGCTTTGTATTCGGGTGGACTGGGTAGAGGCATTGTTCTTCATTCAAAGCTCGTGATCTTTCCTATGGTTCTACATCAAAGTTGTTATTCGGCACAAGAGGTAAATATTCTCTTACTGATCATTCATCACTAGTAAGGATCAACTTAAGAGAAATTTTATTTTTCGCTGCATTTTATATCGCGATTTCCCTTCACCACCAATTAGGTGAATATTACTAAACTATTCTTAGATCGGAAAATCTAAGGCACTTGAGTTAATATTAAACTTATTGGGAGCTGACCCAGGTGAGGCCCAACAGGAGCTTGATGCCATGAGAAACGCTCATTCCCGATTTTCATACCTAGATGACCTGTACAAATCCAATCTGATTGCAGCATTGAAGGATGAAGGTTTGTTCCACAACAAATGTGCATTGAGGCCATACTTCCTATACTTAGTTGGCACGACAATATTTGT